TACAGAAGAATATTATATATATACTCGTACTATAAAATTTATATAAATATAATGCTAATTACCGCATAAATAATAATAACATAAGATCATTAAAATATAAAGGTACATATTATATGCCTAATTAAGGATTAGAATCATTAGAATCATGCAGTGGAAAAAAAGGCGCAAAGAAAAAATTAACCAAACCAAAAAAACAAAGGAAAAAAAAAATTTTTCCTTTAAATACTCAAGAAATCATGCACACAACCATACACATGTCATGTGTTCTTATATAAAATATCTGTTCATTTTGATAAAGATGAAAGCAACAAGTAGAACGTCGCACCAATCTTTATACTTTAATAATACTTTAATAATAATCCAGCGGAGGGAATTGTTATACGTCTATATCCAGTCACTCGTTTACTTCTTCGCTATACAATAATAATAATTGTTCAAAAAACTCCTTATTTTAACAGTTATATTATTCGTTATATCAACATTTATGTGTATTTGTATGTTTGTTGTGTAAGCATTAAGTATTTCTTTTTTTTTTTTTGTTAAAATAAATATTGTTTTGTAATTCGCCCCATATTATTTAATGTTTCGGAAATTGGTTTCCATTTATATTCTTATACATACATATATGTGTGCACTTATAAGACGTATTATTTATCAAGTATATTATCGCACCAAAGAGAAAATATTGTTATGGAAGAAGCTAAAATGAAAACGTACTTTAAATTGCCTTTGTAAACGGTTTTAACTGCTGCGGATTAGATTTAGGAGGAAATTGATTAATTAAATTAAAAAATTATTTTTAGTGAAAATCATTTTGAAAATATATGAATTTATTTGCTGAGAAGCTCAGCATATTTGTGTTGTGCATTTAATTTTTAGTATTAAGGTCCTGGTTGACTCAATACGTTTTTATGGTTTGGTGTGTTGACAGACTTTCTTTCCTATACAGACAATTAAAAATACAAAAACAAGTTTATTTGATAAACCTGTGGAAATACTTTATAACTAAATTATTAAAATTTACAAATTATTTTTAAAAATTTTAGAATTTAAAATTCTTGAATTGAAACAATTTCCTTTAATTTTACAATTTTTATCGCAACTTTAAAAAAATATCTTGTTGCATCTAACATGTTTTAAATTACTTACAATTATTTACGAATATTTTATGAGTATATCTGTATGTATATATCGTATATATTTTTAGAATATAAAGATAAGTAAATAAATACCGCGAAAAGTAAGAAAAGTAAGAAATTTTTGAAAAAATTCATTTCCGGTATTTACCGAAGACAAGAATACAAAATAAAAATGATTTTTTTTTTGAAAATAATATTTTGACTATTAATGTTCCGATTGTACTCCAAATAGTATGGTGCCTTTTTACATCTTAAATATAATAAAAAAACAATTATAATTTGTGAAGTATATAAAAAATATGTGTATGTGCAATGGGTGCTTTTAATTTGCGTCATATTTAGTGTTATCATTACAGAGAGTTTTCCTAAATTTTTAATAGAACATCAACTTTGATTTTCTTGCTAAGGAAATCAGTCAGTTTTCACTTAAGTCCCATGTACCAAGGAAACCCATGAATTTGTGTGTTGTTTAAAAGAATGAAGAAAGTTAAGTTGCTTCAGTTGAATTTAATTTTGCAGTTAAGTTGTTTCAAGAACATGTAAAAAATTTTAATTTTTGGAACTCTGGACCAGTAATTTCTGGAAAACACCCAGTATATATTCATCAAAATTATCCTTACACCTATATTTGGATATATTTTGTTTGAAGAACGTAAGATAAAATAAAACAAGAATTCCCGTCGCTTGTTTTTTTTTTCTATTTAGAAAAGCAAAATAAAGAAGAAAAAAAAAGAGCAAACACAATTATGCATTTTCTATAAGAACAATTTTTATGAAATCAACAGAGAATATAAAAAAATTTTGTTAAAAGGGATTGATTACAAGGTCACGATATCATAATGTAATAGAAAATGTGCCGATTATACAAAGTGCATGCATGAAACCACATATATACGAGTACATATATGAAAACCTAAAATTTTCTTTTGTATTAACTTTAGTAAAACATTGAATAAATAGAAAGCATTTAGAGTAAAATGTCAATAATAAGAAAAATAATAAAATTTGAACGTTAAAGAAACGAATTCTTTACAAAAAGAAATTCAGAATAGTGATAGTAGTTAAATAACAAAACGAATGATATCTAGAGATGATATCACCCCAAAAATGAGCAAAAAATTAACAAAGACCATTAATAATTTCACCCCAATAAGAAATATTTTTTTTATTCAAGTACTTATCGTTATTCTTACAAACAAACTTGCGTTATGTTTAATGGAAATTTTTTTTAAAAGCGTTCCCTTGTAAAACTCAAATTTTAGACGTGAATTAAAAATATTCTCTTCCTTCAAATATTGTCCTATATTTGTTTGTGTGTATGTTATGTTAAAGTTTTTTTATAAGATTTACTCTAAATCGTATTTAATAAAAAGATTTTTGATAGTAATTTTGCGGAAAAAAAAAGCATTTGCGAAAAGGATATTAGATAAGTGCTTAAAGGATTATCTGATGATTATATTGACAAAGCGATTTCAAATAAATTTTTTATATTGGTTAATACTTTACAATAAAAATTCTTAAAAAACCGTTTATAGTTTGTAAGGTTTAAAATGATGAATTGAAATTTTCCAAATGCGGGTATCTTTAGATTCCAATAGCTTGCCTGTTTGCTTAATGATTAATTCGTTTAGTTCTTTACAAGTTTTCATTAAATTTAGTTGAATTCGTTAGAATATTTAATTTTTAATCAATTAATGCATATGTGTAAGACTTAAAGCAATGTATATAAGTTTTGAATTTAATCGAATAGGCTTGTAATTATGCTCACTGCAAGTTGCAAATGTATTATTTGTGTGATTAATTTTGGAGTATGCTTGTCAGGTTTAATCGCTCTATCGTGCGATGAATGTTTCGCATATTCAGTCTGTTAAAAAAAAGTTTTGCGATTTGCTGTCAGGGGTCTAGGCTGATTATATAGGTTGCCGTTTTATGAGGCTAGGTTGCTGTTGATTTGACTTGCGGTCATTGTAGATGTCGAATTGTCTCTGACATAGTGTTTATCTTAAGGTTGTGTCGGAGGTCATCGTGGTTTTTTTTGGGGATAATATAAGAAGTCTTAGGTTAATTGAGTTGTACATTGTTCGTTATCATTATACTGATTATGGTAGGAATGATCAATGGAGCTGTTGCGTTATGTTAATTCTAATTCTTTGATATTTCTTGGTATTATGGTCGGTATGTTGGTAGTCTACAATTTCCTTTTGTCTTTTGTATTGCTTTTCGACTCCTCCGTTCGTTTAACCTTTATCATCCAATTTTTTTTCCCTTCCCTCTTATGTCAATAAGCTTGAAAAATTAATGTTTGCATTTATTATATCAATTATAAATTAATTTAATTAATCTTACTTCAAATTTTTCTAAAAAAAATTCTTACAAATTTTTCTCAAATGTTTTAATACACTGTATACAAGTTAATTATAAAATTAAAATAGAATCATAAACAACAGCAAACAAAAAAACTATCAAAAAACGCGGAAATTATTTAACATAAAAATATAGCAAGTAAAAAATTACTGTTATATAAAAATAACAATAACAATAAAGAAGTTTTGGATCGCATATGTCTTTTCATAAATTCACCCATTATCAAAATACAAAAAAAAACCAAATTCGCGGTATATAATATCAATTTAATTATATAACAAGGTATATGATATTCTGCCGCATATGTACATTCACACACATCTCAACATTTCTTAAACAAACAATTATTATATCTATATGTATATGAACATATTATACTTGTTGTTACTTTAAAATAGGGAAAGAATTTAGCCCCCTTATTTATTATACAAAATATTTTATGAAAACATACAGGATTCCAGTAAATATAAATTTAAATTTCATTATATAAACTTACTCTTGAGTTTGTAGTCTAATAGATTTCTATAGATCTATATCAACTTACACCCCAGGTGCGATGAGGTGCTGAGATTTTTAACCAAGAAATAAAATTTTTTTCAAAAGATTTAAAATCTTTTTCTACATAAAAGAACTATATAGGAAAGCTACGTGTTATAAATAAGTTTTTTTGGTAGATATAAAAGTAAACCCCATTCTATTCAATTTCAATTTCCTATATCTAGAACTTCTCAACGTATAATATGTTAATATAAATGAGTAACGGTGGCTGCGTTCGATGTCCTTGAAAGTTAGTTATTTCTTTCTTTGTTATCTTCTTCCGCATTTTTCTAACGTTTTTATTGGAGAAAAATATTACTATATTATTTTTAAGTCGCGTTTTTTTTTTTACATCATAAAGTATTCATCGCACATCATTTTTTAAAAATCACAGCATTCGGAAATTACATAAAATATGTTTGCATATTTTAAATATGTACTCGCATTATGTAATATAATAATGATATTTGCGGAATGAATAAAAATTGTAGTAAATCTTTTTTTGTTGGTCCTGGGTTCTCTTCATACTCTTTTGTCTCGTTTACAGCTCTAAAACTCTTTTTAATTTCACTTAAAAAATACATACATATATTACAATATTGGCAATGAAAATATCGGTAAATTTTTAAGAGCTATAATAAGGAAATGAGTTCAATAATAATAAAAATAACGTTGCTTTTGAATTTGTTTTCAAATTTGTCTGAAATTTATTGCCGATTGTACTTACTTAATGTGCTCTAAGTGGAAACAATTTCTTCGTTTAGGTACAAAACATATTTTGAACATGATTATAAGAAGAAGTTACAAATTTAATAGTTTCCGCCAATTCATTGTTCTGTGCTTCTCTTAAATTACACAATAATTTCATTAGAGAAATTTATCAGAGTGTGTGTTGCCCAAGAGAAAAAATTGAATTGAGTGCGAATTGTGTTTCGATCGTTTACATGGAATAATTTAAAGACTCTCACTCTGACTCTGGTTTTGACTCTGTCTCAGACTCAGATTCTGTTTCTGATTCTAATTCTGATTCTGATTCTGACTCTGAATCTGACTCTGACTTTGACTTTGACTCTGACTCTGACGTTGATTCTGACCCTGATCCTGACTTTGACTCTGACTGGCCTCGGCTATGTGACTGAAACTGTGACTATAGCTCTGGCTTTGACTTCTAATTCTTACTTTGACTCCGACTGCAACTTTAAATATGATTACTACTCTGATTGTGACTTTGTCTCCCACACTGACTCTAACTTTAATTCTGCCGCTGTTCGGGCTTACGAATTTCAGGAAAACACAAGCCGCCTTAGGCATATAAATCTTTGATATCGCCTACCTCATTCACATCGTACCTACACATGTGACACAAATACATATTTTTTTAATAATATAAAACTATATAATAAAACTTCTATTAAAATAATAATATTATAAAAGGTAATAAAACTTCTATTGCAAATTGTATGCACTTCGACTAAAATAACATCTACCTTATAGCAGTCTTTTCCTTTTATGTTGGCATATTATTATTTCAATTATTAACATTAATATTATAGCTCAGCTGTTCGGTATGAATATAAAATATCAATAAATATAATATTATAAGTACAACAGGTCTCCTTCATCCTCGAAATATCTCAGACTAAATAACATATTGTATTCATATATTTAACGCGAAATTTCTTTATTGTTCAAAAATCATTTCAAAATCTTGTAACACAATCACTTATACCTATAAAAAGCAAAACAGGCTAAATACATTAGAAGAATCCTCTACATATTTTTTGGAGCGAAATTTTAGAAAATTTTAACGTGTTTGTACTTTGAAAAAGAAGTTATTGTGTACTTTTTATATTTCTTTTGCTTTTTTTTAAGGAAGTTTAGCAACATTAAAAGTTAAAAAGGAGAGATGAAAATGTTTAAGTAAAGTAGATGAAGTTTTTAAGAAAAAGTACATAAGATTTTTATCATTTAATATTCTGAAGGGAATTTCTTAAATAATAATACCAAGAAACAAGAAGGAAAAAAAAGTTTAACACAGTGCAGAAAGACGATTGAGGAGAGGGAAGCACAATATTCAGGAAAGAAAATATCTTAAAGGCACAATATCGCAAATACACCAGAAAACAAAAATAACAAGGAAAGAAAAAAAATATATTTTACCACCCTTTTATGTTACCGTTTACCGTTTTATTTCGCATTAAAGTTGTTTATTTTTTTATTAAGTACTTCCTTCTTTCTTTCTTTCAAGTTTTGCGTGAAATAAAAATATCTTTAAGATATTTTTTTATTCGACGCATATAAGATAGATGGTTTGAATTTGGTTTCTTTTAACTTGTTTTTTTGGTGCGTTGAGTGTTATACATTTGTAGTATTTACAATTTGAAGGTGATGAAGATGAAAGTAAGGAAAATTTGAAATTTTATATGTGTGTAAGTACTTCAAGTATAATAATTTAAAGGTGTTTAAGTTACAGATTTCGACTTCAATAAATAAATTAGATTCAAAAAATTTTTGTATAACAATTTTATTATATTTAATATATAGAAAATATTTATTGAATATAATTGATTGATGATTAATCTTCAAAATTTTGCTTTAGGTTATAATGTGAATTGTAAGCTCTGTAAAATAAGTAAAAATAATTAATTTAAGTGGAGTTAATTTAATTATTACAATGGGTACTTAATTATATATGAACATGAGGAATTTTATGAAATTATAGCAATTTGGTATTATAGACTTAAAGCGAAAAAAATAGTTCTCAGAACTCATTCAAATTACTCTTATATATTTGACTAAAATTACATTAAATTTAAAATTTAATATGTGAATTTTTTAAAAAATAAATGCATTGCAGTTCCTACAGGAATGCCTTCAGGACGAGTTACTGTCATAAGCAAATGCCTTTCATTTTGTAATTCAGGAAGTACAAAAACAATCAAAGAGATCAAAATAACCATTTTATCAATTGTTAAGAATTTAATTGGAATTTTAAAAAATTACTTTAATTTGGAGCCACTATTATTCTATGTGAACCACAGAGTTATTGTAAACAAATTGAAACCCTTCAAATTGCTTATCAACTGATTATACTTGTAAAGATGTGAGTAGTAAATATTCATACATTATTTTAAATTAATTCAAAACTTTCTATTTTATATTTTAGAAAATTGAAAAGAAACTCGAAGAAGCACAATATTTTCATTATTTAGCAAAAATTGAAGAAGTAGAATGGTAGGACAAAAAGACGGAAATGAAGAAGAGTTTCCAACATAGTCTGAAACTACTGAGGTATCACTTCAGTATCTTCCTTCACGACATGTAGACACAAAACTAATGGTTAGTGAGTTTGACTAGTTATAAAATATAACTACATAGGTGCGTTTCAAGTTTGAAGTTGCTCAACCGTTGATAGGTTTGGCGACAATTCAAGTTCGCCTATTTTTTTTTCTCGATGATTTTTAATACTCTATATTAAAAAAAATTAATAAGTATTTTTTAATTAAAATTTTTCGATAATTTACATTTTTCTAATCGGAACCTAAAAAAATTTTATAATTCCGTTATGAATTGAATATAATAGCAGTTTATCCTTAAATAATTTCAAAATATAAAAAGAAATCATAAAAAAATTTATGCTTCCGCGTTTTATTTTATTCTTGTCTAGCAGGATTTTTAATTTTTCTATATAAAAGTATTTTCTAGACAATTTGTTATTAAATAAGAGAAACTTCGTCGTCTTCTTAAATAACTCGTTCTATACATAATATTTGTGTTCCATCATCTAGTATAAATATGTATTAAAAGTATTTATATAAGTATAGAGTATGTGCTAATATAATTTTACATTACAAAATATTAACAAGGACATTATTTGTATCAGTCGGATTTTATGTTTACTTATTCACTTTTATACATATTTATATAATATGGCAGTTATTTCTTGTAACATTTGAAAAGTAACACAAGATAAACTGAAAAGTATAAGAAGCAAAAAAAACTAGACATCAGAACAATAAGCAGACAAGGATACTTTGATAATAGAATAATTTTTTTATTTTTCTGTTTTTATTCTTTTTTCTTATTATTGTATTTATATTTACTTACATTAGATTTTTATTGTTCAAATAATTCTCTAAGGAAGAATTTAAAAGTATGGTACACAGTCTAAATAAAAATCTAAGGAGCTTTTATAACAACACATATTTTATCCTTGAATTCAATTGTGTGTGTGCTTTTATTTCTTCTTCCTTAAAGAAAATTCCTTGTTATTACCGCTGTTACTGCTTCTATTCTCCTTTTATATGTTCTTATTATTCTTTACTTCCTATATTTTGTTTGTATGTACTTGTAATGATATTTTGAGTTGAATTTTTTTGGTTTCTGTTCTTTTTTGCTGTTTACTATTTGTTTTGAGTTTTTTCAGTATTTTCTGGCTTTGTTAATGATTAATAATAGATGTAATTTAGATATTAGATAAAATAGGATATATTGTGAGAAAAAAAAGTCAGCAACATCTATTAGACTTTTTACAAAAAAAATATATTTCAACTTATATAAAATTTGAAATCAAAAATAAATATTAAAGAAAAGCAAAAATTTTTACCCAAATAGTTGTGGGTATATGAGATTGATTGTGGGAAAATCCTTTAACAAAAAATATTGTTTAAAATAATATAAAAAATAAAGATTATAAGGCTTATTAGTCTTTATAATTTAAATAATTACAAATATTTAAATAATTACAAAATTTTTTCCTTGTTGTTGACAATTTTAATAATTATTTCCACCATGTGCTAAATAACATAAAAATTAATTAACATAAATTATCTTAAATATTGAACTATTAATAAAAAAAAGTTTGTGCAAAACTTAAAAAATATACAAAAACAATGTTTGAATTGAAATTACGTATTAATATGACTTTAGGATTGTTTTATTAAAATTTTTGCATTTATAAATTTTATTAAATAATTTAAATCTTATGTTAAACTAAATTTTCGCATTTAAAATTAAAAAGATTTTATTTATTTTCTCTTTGTAGCCTAAGCTCCCTAAAACTAAATCATCAATAAATTTTTATTGAATATCGTCCTTCGTATAAATATAAAGAATGCTGAAGTGGCCATGTTTAACAATTTATAGTCGCAACGTAAACCAATTTTAAATAAAAAACTCTGTTGGTGTAGCATTAACTACTGTAGATAGAAGAATGGAATTGTCATAAATTTAACTAAAGCCGTTGAAGACAAAATATGCCGCATGAATATCATCTTATTTTGAGCAAAAACACAATACTAAAAACATTTAACGCTTTCATAAATCAATACCTTCAAAATTTTGCTTTTGCTCAGAATGAGTTCTGAGTTGTATGGAAATGAAATACGGCATGCAAATCAAGCTAGCATAAAAATTTTGTCAGCGGTAATCAGAAAAAGGGCAGAATTTGCTGGCGAAGAAAAATTTCCAACATAAAATTGGGCGAACGAAGAACAAGTGAGGAACGTTTGTCAAAAGGCAAAGAAAAAAAAATAAGAACGTTGATTTGAGCAGAAATATAATATTTGGATTAATAAGGAACACAGGAGAAACTTGTGAAAGTTTCATGTTTTGGAAAGAGACAATAATTGTTATTTGTAAAATTTACACAAAAGGTGATTAGTCAGGTATGTTGTTGTTGCTTAGACCTCGTAGGTTTTCTTCTAAAAAACCAAAAAAATCTTCAACAAAATTAAAATTTTTTATAATTTAAGTGTATTTGATTTGTTTCTCTTTTAGACAGTTATAATTTAAAAATAAATATTAGTGAGGTACTTAATGGATATAGAAATTTTTGCACGTATCACCTAAAGATTTTGATTAAGTATTTTTACTTAGGGCTAAATAAGAATTATCTCTCATCTCACCCTTAGAAATCAACAAAAAAAAAAGAAAATATAAAAATTCACACAAAAAGAAATGATGACAGTGTTCGCATACAATGTTGTATATGTGTTATAAGGATCATCCTACCACATTGCAAAGAATTTTCATATATGTATAACATAAAAATTTATTTTTCTTTTATTCATAGTATATAAAATGATAAAAATCTAGACGACAAATTGAAATAGATTAATTGAACATAAACAAGAACAAA